CGATTCGTAACCACTACGTTACCAGAGCTCCATAGAAATCTTGTAAGTCCGTGTTTAGCCTATAACTGATTGGAATACCTAAAATGGGGCTAGAACTTGCCCAGTGAAGGAGGCTTCTGCAGAGCCTTTGCATTGCGTAAGATCATAGGTGGAATCCTGAATCCTCTGAGCTGGGAAATTTCCAGTTGAAGGGACAAGCAGACCAGTATGGAGCAGCTAGAAGAACAGAAGCTAATTCTTGAAAGAAAGACCAGCAGGAAAAATAAAAAATAATAACAGCAGTCTAACTGACTACTACAAGAACAAGCAAGTTGTTCCCCAGGTAGCCATCAAGGCACATGGTCCAGTCCCCTCAAGGCAAATCAATCCCCTTCCAAAACTGAAATTCAAATGGAATGCATGAGTAGGCATGTGGCCTTGCTGCTTGACCACATTGGTAACCGATAAGGGGAAGTGGGGGAAAAACAGCAATGAAGTTGTGAGCTAAGTCTGACCACATTCAATAGATTACTGTTAATCTGGATTGAGACCTGGTTAACCAGCAGTATGACAAGACCTGGGGACTCCTGGGCCCAGGGTCAGGGACATGGCTCCAGAGGACTACAGCGGCGTGCGAAGCATCGAGCTGATATGAAGTGAGGGGAGATGCACAAGAACACCCATACTTGCAGATTGTACCCATTTGACTGGCATCAATCAATGGCTGGAGGACCAGAACACGATTAGAGGAAAAAAAAAGAGTAACCCACTACAATTGGATGAATGTGACCTATGCTTGTGGATGCAGTATGACTAAGGAATGAACAAATCTCTACAGTGAGGATCATTCCCACCCCCTTGGTACACAGGGTCAAGAAGGATGCAGAACTTAGACATTGGCTACAAAGGCAAGAAGTGACTGGCTTATAAGCTTTCAATAGGGAACCCAGTTCCAGAGGGTACAGGGAAAAGTAGAATCTCCACTGAGTTGTTTCCAACCTGTCTGGATGGGGTTGATAAAAAGTGAGGGGGATAGGACTCCTGTGGTTCAATAAGGAATGATTGCTATCAGGTCTGACAGTGAGTGTTGGAAAGATAAATGCAAATGTTTTGTAACAAAAGAAGGGGAGTGGCTGATTTCACAGTCCAGGAGCAGAGAACCCTGGAACCATCAAGGGAGAAAAGCGAAGTGAGGGACCCTGTCCAGGGAGGCAGTGACACAAGGATGGAAGCAGAGATGATGACATGGAGAGATGGAGCAGCTGGGGACTCTGGACTGAAGGAAGGAGAGGGGGTGTCCGGGGGCAGGAGTACAGGGTGTACCCTTTGGTTATTTGATGATGCTTGCAGGGGATTGTAATCATTGCAATGAAATGAAATACAATAGGATGAATGTAAAGATAATGTTCTCCCATGTACTAACATATAATTCACAATAAAATTAAAAAACAAAAAATGATGCAGTGCTGGGGGTGCTCACTAGTCTATGCCAAGAGATTTGGAATACATCTACCTCACCAATGGATTGGGAGAAAACCA